ATTGTCTTGATTGGGGCAGCAGTCATGTATTATGATAGTCGCGGCCGGAGGGCCGCCCGGTTGCGAAGAAAGGTGGCACTGACGATATAATCAGAATATTGCTATTTCACGAATGGGGAACTAACCTGTGCTGTGAGCATTTTTAAAGAGGGAGAAAAGAAGTGGAATTTGCGACATTTGACAGGAGAGGGAAACACTCGAGTCGCCAGCCATTAACCACTACTGCTTGAATACAAGGAATCTCGTGGCAACTGCTACCGCTTTATGAATCAACCAATGACAAACACGATTGATGCTGATCTGGCGGGCTGGGCCCGATGTTCCCACGAAACGATTCCAGAATTGGGGCCAACAACAATAGAAACGAAATGTTGCTCTTTCGTGCCTTGGGAGGATTTCTGCTTTCGGCAGCTAGGTACTGTACACAGCTAGTGGGCTATAAGATTTTTTGGCTGGTGTAGCAACTAGATAGTTCCGATTACTGCACACGAGGCTCAAGAACCAATAAAAATGCTTTGTACACACCAGAGATTTGAGTTTATTAGCTTATCCTTTCTATTCAATCAGCCAGGCCTCCATTGTCGTAGCAGGAATATGGGAGCCACGTAGCTGCTGGAGGCATTGCTCATCGGATGGAGAAGCAGGATCGGAGTATCGATAGGTTTTGGGTGTTTGCTGTGTGAGCGGAGAGAAGTGAGCTTCTTGAAACACGATTGGATCGTGAAGAACTGTGTTTGGCTGGCGCTGCACCTCCAAGCCCACCCACCGACAAATTTTTGAAAGCAACGGCCAGAGTTTCGAAGTGAACGTTTGGCACCGTAATCTTCGGCATTGCTTTGTCCAGGAAGATTCGAAGTTGCCATCATTTGTTCCTTCCATGTACATGTAGTAAAAGCATGAGACAAGTCTGTTTCGTAGCGTTCATAGCGTCGTCATGTTCATCGTGTTGGGCGTCCGAGTTGAGAGTGCAGGAACCTTCACGAGGAGTATTGGAAGCGGAGAGACCGCTGGCATCGCTAGTGAGGGGGCAACGCCGGAGGAATGAAGCGCTGACAAATCAGGACGAAGAAGAGAAGCTCTTCTTCACCGAAGCTGAAATACCCAGGGAGAACCAATACCAAGTCTCTGAACACATGGGACTTGGCGAGATGGAGGGCCATCCATTGATGCCTCACAATAGCTACAGCAACAGCAATAGGGAAAAGGAAAAGGCGCTAAAGGGATCCAGTGCAAAGCAACTGGGAACATCGAAGAAGTTTGTTTCTGAGAGCCTCCATACATCCACAGGTACGTGAACAAACAACAAGTACAACAAGTTCTTTCGATTCCGATTGGCTTGCTGCATTAACTAACGTAATCTACATTGTGCCAAACAGAAAAACCAACGGGCAGCCCGACTCTTGCTCCTACCGAGAGTCCCAGTGATAGCCCTAGTGAAAGTCCCAGCGGCAATCCATCTGAAAGCCCTTCTACGACAGACTTTAACAGCTATGACGACCCGGAAAATCCCAATCATGTAAATGCAATAACGTCCCCAACCGGCCTATCAGATCGAACAGAAACGATCGAGGGGAGTACTCCAAAGGGCAAGGAAGCAAAAGACGTAATTGCCAGCGCCGAAGAGACTGCCGCGCCCACCGAGGCTCCGGTTGTGGCCCAGGTTGTGGCTCCGGTTGTGGCTCCAGTTGTGGCTCCTCCTACGATTGTTGCTGGCGGCGTTGGAGCAAATGCCAGAGAGTCTACTTCGTCTTCATCAAACTCTGAGCTGGGAAGCTCGCCATCTAGAGACAATCCAAAGCACACTTTGCTGGTGTATGGAGGTGATAAAATTGAGCCCTTGCAAACTTTCTCGGACTATGACTCTTCCAGTCAACAACAATTGCCCGCGATGGAGGCTGTGGAGGAACCGCCCGAATCATCTGGACGAATGTCCAATGGACGTTACAACGTACATGACGAAGCTCGAGGGCACAAGACAGCGTTGATTTTGGTGACAGGTGCATGCCTTTGTGCTCTGTTTCTGGGCAGCAGCTACTTGGTAGACCGAACGAAAACCGACAGAGCTGTTGCAGCTAGAAAGTTGGAGCTGAGCTTCCATGGGAGAGTGGATGAGTGCTCGACAGATACGGATAGTTCTGAGGCTAGCTACAAACCAAACGGCGATCGTGGTGGTCGTGGCCGTCGCAATCGTTCTCTGCCGGAATCCTTTCATGTAGTGGAAAATGTGGTGTACGACATGAGTACCATTGCGGAAGATTCCGCGGAGGAGTGCAGCGATCCCTGGGCTAACGACGACGACAACGTGGAAAGTATTGAATTCGGAAACGCCACCAGAGTCCGAGGCTCCGATGGTTATGATGGCGTTGAATCTCCTCCCGTGCGCAAACGAATATCGGGAATTCTAAAGCAGGGCATTAACGCGTCCAAACGACGGGTTCTGGACCGCATTCCTCGACGCAATCGATACGAAGAATTTGATGATGGCTTTCAACCATCAGATCCCGATGGTGAATATGGCGGTGAGGAAGGATGTGCTGGAGAGTATGCACAGGAGCTTGGTACGACCAAAAAGAAGCAGTCGCAAGAGGAATATTCTCAGCTTTTCGCTTGGGCCGAAGGGGGCATACACGAAGCAACCACAAGAAGAGTGCGGGTTTAACAGACGCATGGATTCCTCCTCGTTCAGCTTTCTAGCTTCCACTGATCCTCCTATGAAAAGTAACAATAAGACATTCGTAGTGCATGGCACAGTTCTAGACAATCTTTTCAACCATGATGACTCGACTCGCTGATGTCAAATGGTGCGAAGACTGACTCCACACTCCTCCTGCTCTCGCATGATGTGATGCGTATTGTCCGGATATTGGTTTCCATGGATTTTGCTCTCCAAAGCTCCTCCCTTCTCATTATTAAGCACCATGCCGCCAAGGCTAGCTAGTCCCACGTTTGTACCACCTGATCCGGCGGAATCTTGCTCCAAGTCTCGTCTCCTCGCAAATAAATAGCTGTAGCCAGGCCCCTTTGATTGACCATGACTTGCTAGCTGAAGGAACTGCCTCTTTGCATGACTTTGTCCATTGATTCGATTCATTCCTGCGCTCCTGTCGATGTTACTCCCACCATTTTTAGGCCAATGTCCAACGGCTGCCTTGGTTTTGGCTTTTGGTTTCGAAGGCGCAGCTTGAACCTCCTAACGGCCGTAGTTACAAATTTGTTGGAAGAGACGTCCGCAAAGGTGCGCAGACTGTAAAATTCAGAGATACGTGCACCTCCTCTGCCATCACCGTGATATGTCCGGAAAAAGACTCCAACTGTATAACACAACAGAAGCGCACTAGAGAATCAGAGAGAAAGTATCTCTGGGTTGGCCGTCAGAGAAGCAAAGCAAATACAAGTACCGTAGTACTATCGAGCATAGCAACTGTGCGAACGAACGAACGAATAAAGCTATTCAAGCTCAGCCATGAGAATAGCAAGCTGTAGGTGTTCCAGTGTTCGGTTGCTGATACTGCTGGTCGTCTCGTCGTTGAGCCATGTGTCGTCGGCCAGAAAACTGAGAGGTACTCGAGCAAGGGGCCGAGGACTCAACCAAGATGGCTTACTCTTCACGGAGGGTCGAAAGGGCGGCGACAGAAACGAATACGATCACCAAGAAAGCGAAGAAGATTACTGGGATGATGCACAAGTTAGCCGAGAGGGACCAGCTGGACCTGCGTCGCCGGACAACGCTGGTGGAACCAACAAGCAAAAGGGAGAATCGTTCTACGATAGACCAGCCATGAAGTTTAACAAAGAATCGAAGACGAAAACAGTCGGAACCAAGGCCACTAGCAGAGAAGAGCCCAGTATGAAGAGTACTGAGGAACCCAGTATAAAGTATAAGTCCGCAACCTCGGCACCTGACGACTCGATGGACAGCGATGTACCTCGTGAGCGCCCATCAGAAGACTACGAAGACACGCCAGCGCCAGTTCCAAAAGGGGGCAACAAGGGCTCCAAGCCAGACTATGATGAAGAAGAAGAAGATGAAGAGCCGGAAGATTATAATCGTAAGTGCAAAAACACGTGCTACTGCTGCCGACACTGACCAGCGGTTCTGAACAGTCACATTCGATTGCTTGTGTTGCCCTATCAAATTATGCCAACAGCTCCTCCAGGTATGATTCGATTCCCGCAATATATTGCTGGGTGACTTGCTGCGCTTCTGACTATTTCCTCCTTCTAACTCGCCTCTCTGGTCTTTTCGTTGGGCTTTGTTTAATTAAAGAACCCGGGAAGTATGGTAAGTTGAGATTCGAGGGCCGATTTTCTTTTGTTACTGGGCGGTATCTCCTTGCTGACAGCTGCCTGTTGTTGTACGGCACATAAATTCCAGCAAAGGACACTGATGAAGAGGACGGCTACGAGGAAGCCTATGACGAAACTGATGTGCCGACACAAGTACCAGTGGAGCCTGATGCCAGGGAAGGATACTCTGCCAAAGCTGCTGGCAATGCTGCTGGCAATGACTTGAACCAGGTGGAGTTCGTACTAAGCCAGTTTGGGCTCGAGTTTGAGCTTGCAGGTTTGACCACTACCAACACACCACAGACAATGGATTTTGCCGAAGTAGAAGCTGCCACGAAGGGTTTTCTGGAAGAGTTCCTTGAATTGACCTACAGTGCAGATCCCATGATCTTCTTTCACAGTGTGGAAATCGAAGCAACCTCGAGGAGAACCGGTGGAACTTCCATGACACCATTCATCGACTTCGAAGCAAGCGTCGCATTCGTCAACAACTCTCCCATGACGCCAACCAATGATGAGATTGGACTCACCATTTCGGCAGCATTGGCCGAGCCTAACCTGACTGCCTATCTCTTATCTCTTCAGGGACGGCTCAGCGTTTCTAACCCGTTCTTGTCGACCTCAGGAGTTACGGTTTATGTTCCAGACGCGAGACAACCCCAGCGAATTTCAGACCGACAAGGAAAGCTGTCAGCGGCAGGAATAGCTGCTGCGGCGAGTACAGGTCTCCTCACTCTCGTGGTGGGTGGGTTCCTCTTATTCAAAATAAAGAAGGAAAATCAGGATATCGTCCGTGGGGGCAAGTACGGCAAGGGCTATGTTGGCGGCGCAACACTTGCAGGGGATACGTACGACAACGAAACTTTGGAAGATCCTCCCTCCGCTACCATGCCAACTGACGATGGTCAATCTTTTGATACATCCATGTACCATGATGACCGCAGCATCTTGTCGTCCGTACCACCAGAGGTTCTGGAGGGGACTGAGAATGTCGACGAGGAGAGTGAGAATGTCGACGAAGAGAAGAGTGACACCGACAGTGTCCCGTTTGATTGTTCGTCACCGAAGCTGGTGAATGACAATGTCAGCAAAAACGAAGCAATGGTAGATGACGGCGAAGAGAAAAAGGAAGACAAACACGAGGAATATGAAGAGACTGTGGAAGAATTCAACGACGAAGCATTCGATGAAGAGGATCCGAAGGACTCGTCGTCTAGAGCAAGAACTGTAGGAGCTGCGTATGCTTCTCTTGTTGGCCGAACGAAAGCTTTCGTCCCTTCATTCAAGCAACCTTCTCCGCTATCCAACAACGTTGATATTAAGAACTACTTCAAATCGAAGTACAATTGCAAGTCACCTCAAGGCTACGAGGCTGTCGATGACTCAACCAGTGGTGGCGCTATTAGCGACGATGGAGTCACGCTGAGTGAGGACGTCAGGATCCATGATTCACGAGACCTGGTAATTCCAGCCTTGGACCATGATACAGGAGCCGCATCAGAAAAGGCTTCCGGCGGCATCCCAGGTAGCCGTATTGAGGGCGATCCTGCTATTCAACAGTCCCAACCAAGCCAGGTGTTCCGAACCGTGGACAAGAATGCTACTCACCTAGAGGCTCCTGGTTCAAGGGAGCTACCAACTGAAGTTCAAGGGTATTCCGACAGAGCAAGAGATCAAAAGGGGGGTACCGGTACTGGATCTGTTGGCAAAAGTTTTGATGACGTATCCCTCGATACAATGACAACCTTGACGGAGATTTAATTAAAGCGGAGACTGGGTCAGGCCACCACAGAGCGAGTGACTGTTATAATTGGATTCCCACTCTCCTCTTGCTTCTGGCGTAGTTCCGACTTGCGCTTCGAAAACTAAATGTAGTCTTTCATTAACTGCTGGCTAGATTTTGTACCGACGGCACCCTCGCGAAGCAACAAAGAAACCACCGCCAGAAGTCCAGGCACAACAAAACAGATTCTAAGGAAGTTTTAATAAGCTTGAGTTAGTTTTTGGGTTTTGTTCTCAAGCCGTCTCCGGTTGTCTTGTTTTCGATCGATTGTGTTCGTTGGTTCTGTTGTGAGGGGGGGGTGGGGTGGGGTCGCTGCGCGTGCTTTGGAAGGTTCTTTCCGGTGGTGGTGGTCGCCCTTCGGCGGGCCCTGCCTTGGGCCGGTCTAGGCGATACGCCTGGTGAAGAAGATGGAGTCTAGGAGCTCTTGCGGGGGCCCGGACACGTCTTGTAATACTTCTTGGGGGGAAATCGTTCGCGCTTGTCCTCTCTGGACTTTTCCGTGTTCTCTTCCCGCAGCGCTTGTGCCACTTTCAACCTTGCTGCCTCCTTTGTGATTTCAAACCAACCCTTGCCGTCCTTCTTGAGGAAGCGACGCCCGCTGGAGATCATGGCCTGCACAAAGGCTCTGCTCATCTTCGTCTTCTCCCTCTGCTTCAAGGAAGGATCATTGTAGGAAGATTTGACCTTTTCCAATTCTTGACGATAGTCCTTATTCCCAGGCCAGAAGTTGGATTTGCCTCCACGGCCGAGCAAGATATCGCGCTCGGTTGGCTCCACATGATTCTTGTCCTCATCCGCAGGATCGGCACGCTTGCTTGTCGTATTGCCAGCTGGTGCCGGATTTGTCTTTGTCTTGCTCTTTTTGTTGGGTGTTGGTTCTGGCTGGGGCGAGACCGAACGAGCGGCGATGCCGTATTCCGTGGCCCATCTGGGGACGCCGGCGCTTGCAATGTCGTTGTTGGCCTTTCTCTTCCGGCTGACCTCGGTGCTTTGATCCACCGGCACATCAGTCTTGAAGACGTCGAACGACCCCGTGGAAGCCATGAGTTGCGAAAGCGTCGTGCCGTTTGAGTCGGTGCTGCGGAAGGCGCGTTGCAATAGCGCGCCGTTTGAATCGGTGCCGCGGAAGGCACCATGCATCTCTTCAGCAACACCGCTCTCGGCGGCACCCTTGTCGCCCGTTGCCGTTTCATGGTCAAGAAGGGCACCCGCATCGTAGAATACCTCGGCGCTGCTCGGGACGTTGCCACCCGCCTGCTTTGCCTTTGTAGCTGGCTTTGCCTTTGCGGCTGCTCTTTTCTGAACGTTCTCTTTTGTGGCCTGGGCTCTGTCTTCCGCCGGCTTTTCCTCTGCGGCAGCTTTCGCCGCCACGGGTGGATTTGCCTGAGTCAATCTGCAGCCGCATCCAGGACAAAACTTGGCTCCAGTTGGTGCCATGGTAGATCCACAAGAACCACATGCTTTCTGTGTTGTCTTCTTTTCTGGGGCATCAGCCGCGGGCGCTGCTGTCTTGGGAGCTGCTTTTGTTGGTTTTCCTGCGAGCTGTTCATCAAACTGCAAAGCAGACAACGGCACCATGGCCGATTGCAAAAACGCATTCCTGCCATCGGCTGAGTCAACCGAGAGGTACTGGTACTCTTGACACCAGGACGAGGATCGGCTCAGCAAGTTTGGTTTTTCCGGGCTCCCCCTGTTCTGCAAACTAGCCGTTATTTGGTTGGCTAGAGACCAATCAAAGCTCCGGTAGACCTCCTGCAAAAAGTCCAAATCTGAGCTGCGGAGGATACTCCCAATGATGGGACAAGGGGGTGGCTTCGTTTTCGGCTTGTTCTTGTTCTTCTTGTTGTTCTTCTTGTTGTTCTTCTGTGTCTGTTGTTCTTCTTGATGGTGTTATTGGTGTTATTGTCGGACAGCATGCCGCCAGCCTTTGCGGCGGCGCAGTCGACCGCAAAGGACGCCATTGTCTTTTGCAAGACTATTTGTGGATTGTGGATTGCGTCCCGGTTTAGAAATTGTGAGAGCTACACAAGAGGAAAAAGGTCCAAACGTGCCATTTCAAAAGTGCCATTTTAAAGCCAACCAAGCTGGAAACACATCCGTTTCAAAGCTCGACCGTCTTGCCGTCGGTCCATTAGGTAGAATCGTCCTGATGACCTCAATCAGTGAACTGATCTCTGATGTCACTCAACTATGACTGGTTTGTGCCAGTTCTTGTCAAAAAGCATTAATGCAGGCAAGGACTCGGTAAACCATTTGCGCTCACATTTTCAAGCGATTTACATGGTCGAGTCATTGAAATTCGGTGGTAACAGATCGGATCGGCGATCTGTTATTACCACCATCTTCCTGAGTTACTAACTCGAAGCATCACGGAGAGGTCATCGTCGAGAATTCAAGGCTTCTAGGCAACACCGCTGAGACCGCCGAGCCATTGTGTTTAACCGGAAAACGCAAGAGCATCAGCGGGAACTGCAGTGCCATGGAAAAAGATTCAAAAGAAATCCGTAGTCAGGCGCCTTGCCGTTGGGCCAACAGAACGACATCGCTGACATCGCCGTTCCAATTCTGCCCGGGATTTGAACCCGGAATCTCCTGATTACTGCTGTTTGTGGCAAAATTGTAGTGGTTTATGAATAAATGTTGTCATTGAAAATGCCGAAATCTCATCTTACTCCCTTTTGCGCCCCATCTGACTTGAGGGAGGGAGGTGTTGTAATGGGCATGGTTTATGGCAACAGCAGCTACCGGCATGGTGGGTAGAGTAGATACGATGGACAGAATAAGCCAGAACCGAAAGGCCTACCGGTACATGCCTGTGGTGTAGCGTTCTCTACCCAGGCAGTCACTATGCTTGTCTAGCTAGGTAGTAGTGCCACCCAGCACAATCAATTAATTGCAACCACATGCATACACAACACAAACGGGGTGCAGCTTCTAGCTAAATCTTACTCGGGAACCCTGCTGGTCGTTATTTGTATGCATACATCTAGGCAGCGTGGAGGGAAACCAGTGTCACCACAGCTTCTATCTCCGTTTCTCCTGGCTAGTTTACTACTGGCATAGATCACAATCACAGCCACACAGGCAGGTTCCCTGGCAAATTAGATTCTCATGCTGGACTTGGTTGTAACAGTGTTCACCAAAACACTTGAGCTCCTGCTGATACATTTTGCCACATAATTGTTCAGGGATGCTGCCTGACAGTGATGTGTTTGCCACTACCAAGCTTGTCAAGTTTTCCAAGGCAAGCAATTCAGAGGGAAGTGTGCCAGATAAGTTGGTATTCTGCATTTCTAGCTTCTTCAGACTGGAAACTAGGCCAACTTCTGTTGGAATGGAACCAAAGAACTGATTTTCACTGATGTATAGCTTTTGCAGCTTTGGCAGCTGTGCAATAAGATGGGGAGGAAGTTTGCCTTCAAAATGGTTTGCATGAATATTCAAATAGCCAAGGTCTGACATGGTAGCGTTGGGAAAGGAATGGAAAGGAACAAAGAACCGATGAGAAGATAAAGGGTCACAGAGTGAACCGAAACATTCAAAATACTGACTGTCAAACTTAGACAAAAAACTTGGAAAGTTTCCAGAAATGCCATTCTTTGACAAATCCAAGAGTGACTGTTTTGGAAATGGGGGGTGTTAGAAATAGAACTTTGTACACAAATTTGCATGCCACAACTTTAGCTCTTACCAGCTTTGTCAACTTCCCAAGCTCATCCGGGATTGTGCCATTGAGATACCAATCACTCAGTTGCAGAAATTCCAGTTCACTCAAAATACCCAGTTCGGCTGTTGGAAGCACGTATGGAGTGATAATGGGTGAGATACAAAAGTCACTTCCACCATTAGGAGACTCTTTTTTATCAGCAACTACCAGTACTAACTTGGAATATGTATCTCTTCCCCTAGAACTCTGTTTGAAAGGGCAAACAGTCTAAGCTTCGGCATGCCTCTAGCAACGAGTTCAGGGACACTTTCTGTGTCCAGTCCAGGGCAATCATCAACAAAGAATGTCTCTAACCCGCATATCTTGAAGAAGTTATTGGGGAACGTCCCTGGAGATTGCATGGTGTTGAATGAAACAAGAAGTGTTAATGTCCGTTGAGGAAGGAAGTTGCTGCTCGTTCTTTTTCAATTCAAAGAAGAAAGACCAATTGCAAAGCAAAGCAAACCAAAACATACCTGTTAGATTTGTCTGCTGCAGTGAGAAATCTGTGAGATTGCCCAAATTGCCAAGCTCGGCAGGGATGGTCCCAGAAAACATCCCAGAAATCATAAACCCATTTAAAGTCTGTAGTAGACCCAGCTCTGTTGGAAGAGAGCCAGATAGCTTTGTGGTCGTCAACCCCAATTCAGTCAATTTTGTCAAAAGTCCAACCTCGGAAGGGATGTTCCCTGTGAGCTCCAATTGCCAATTCATTGCCAGTAGTTGCAAGCTGTTGCCCAGTATTGAGATCTCTGGTGGAAGTGTTCCTTCCATGTTGTTGGCATTCCTAAATGACAATGCCTTGATTTCCCCGATCGCATTGCAGTTGAGTTCTTCCGGAGAGTCATCTAGGCGAAAACTTAACCTTTGTTCCCAGTTGCATTCATCAGTTTCCCAGTCCATCCAGCCATGCTTTTTGACCCAATAGTCTCCACGTGTAGAGTAGTAGAAAGTGGCCAAAGCAAATCTCTGCAGTTGTCTCCATTTTGGCAGATCCTGGAGGGTAGAGTTTTGGTTGCTGTTGTTGAGATTGTTAGTGAGCCATTGGTATGCCTTGGACTGAGGAGTCCTGGGGTTTTCTAAAGCTTCCAGTGTATACTGTGGTAGATTGAGAGAATCCAGAAAGCTCGTTGGTGCCATGGTTGGCTTTGATAGTTCTAGAGATGATAGTTCTAGAGATCCAGAAATTTGAATGGCAGTTGATTGGCTGTTTGTGTTGGTGCTGCCATTGTTTGTAATAGACACTGCCATGAATGCCAAGAGTACCACAACCACTGCCAAGAGAACCACATTGACTTCCAGTGAAAGAACACGAAACAGCCTTTGTCTCCAGTACTGCTTGGGCATTGGCTTTGTATCTAGTGGAGGTATCGGAGATGATGTAAAAAGTACCAGTAGCGAATCAGTATTTTCTTCTTCTCCCATTGGTTGTGTAACAGTAGGAGAATCTGGTAGTGATTCTCTGCCCTCCAAATCTTCCCAGCCTTCCTCGTGGTGGTGGTGGTTATTGTCCCATATCCCAATCCCAGCAACAGCGTAGGCCCCAGGCATGGTTGGTACTACATTGTCATGTAATGATGGTAGTATCAGAGGCGGAATTCGTGATGGTGATGCATCATGTAGAGCTTCTGACGGTGTAGTTGTACATGTAGTGGTATGCCCTCGTAATCCCAATGACGTGTGGTCGTCGTGGTCGAGTAATTGAATGAGCTCCACGGAACTCTCTCCGTCGACGACGAGCTTCTGGAAGCTCGAAGCTCTTTTCACAACAGAAGCGCCATGCCCATCATCTTTTCTAGTACAAGGCATCAAGCATCTGGTACAGTGGAGACGCTTGGTGTTTTGTGGGGCCGTCGAGTCGATTCGAGTGACGGTCTCGTTTGGTTTAGGGTAAGAAAGCAAAAACGGCCACGTCGCCCCGTTGGAAGCAAACTTAAAAACTCTAACCCTCTAATTGACCCCGGCTCAGGATCACGCTCCTCATTTCATAATATGCCACAACCATATCTTCTCTATCTTCTTTCACCATGACGTCCCCTGCTGCTACTACCGCTGCTGCCACTGCTGCTACTACTACTACTCCTTCATTGCAATCCTTTGTGGACTTTTGCTCTGTGGAGGACATTTTTCATCAGTTTGTGCCCTTTTTGACGTACCAAGATGTGGGTCGTTTGGAGTCCACATCAAAATTCCTCCAGACTCGGGCGCAAGAGTCCATGTGGAAGATGGTCTGTCGTCGTGACAACTACTACTGCTCGTCTGGCGAGGAGGAAGATGAACATGATGACGATGGAATGACAACAGGACCAACGTACCACGAAGAACGTCAGAGCTTTGATTGTCTCGAAAAAGCATCCAATTGGAAAGACTTTTACCACAAATGGTGGTTCTGGTCTCAATGGACCCACGGAGCTGCCAAACCTCATCACCTTCGCGAGGCCATTTCGCTGTGGGCGCGATGCAAGGCCGTACTGGTCCAACAAGGACTGCACAATGTCGTCCAGTCGCTGAGTCCCTGTTTGACCCGTGAGGAATTTGGGGCATTGCTCGAAGTAGATGATGATGATGATGGAGCTGGAGTAGGACATGTACGACAGTTCCCTTTGCCGTCCTCACTGGTGGCCTTTTTATCCGTGCACGGAGGACAGCAGGCACTCCCACCACGCTCCCAAGATCAAGAATTCTTTGCCGGGCTCTTTGGCAGCTATTCTTGTTACGATCACTTTTATTCCATGAGATTGGTGAAAATGGGAGAGTTTTTGGGGACTGCCTTTCGGGCATTTCCAGGATCCATTCTCATTGCCATTTCCGTAGGAAATCCACGCATGTTCCTTTTTCTCCAACAACCCACACCAGACGATCCAGAAGGAAAATTGACTGCGGTATACAATAGTCCCTTGGCATCACGAGGACAGGAATCACCAGTGGTAGGACATGGAGGGATTTTGACATATCTACGGCAATATGTGGAACGATTGGAAGCTGGTGTTTACAAACGGGTTCAAATCCTGGACGAGTCACCATCCTCTCAAGGGATTGGTCTTTTTCCTGATGGAGGTCCCACCATGAGCCGTGCCGTCACCAGAGGAATTGAAGTCAGGGCCAGCGCTCGCTGGTTCCCCGCTGGCATACAAGATCAGCAAGGAAGAGGGCTCAATTTTGGGTACAGTATTCGAATACAAATGGTAGATGCCGACCCCGAGTTTGACACATGTCAACTGGTGAGTCGACACTGGGAGTTTATGGATGGAGAAGGAAACGTACGACGGGTTGATGGAGAAGCGGTGGTCGGAAAGCAACCAGTCTTCTTCCGAGATGCCACTACGGGTAAACCAGGCTTTATTGACATGGGACCCGCTGGGGATGACAATCGGTATGCAGACAAGACGTTTGTCTATCAAAGCCAATCTGGACCAGTGGCAGGAACATCACAGCAGGATAGCGGAGGTGCAAGTGTTAAGGGGACTTTTAGCTTTGTGCCTGGAACCATTGGCAACCCAACAGGACCAAGGTTTCATGTTGTGGTGGCATCATTTCCATTGACAGTTCCCACTCCATTTTATTGAGTTAGTTAATGTACCTGCCCAACACCACACGCGACCGCAGTTAGTTTGTAACCCCATCCAAGGCCTCCCTATTGTCGGCGCATCCTAAAACTGTAGACTCAGACAACCATTCTCTCCATAGCTAGTTTACATTTCGCCAGATTTTACTGTACTTTTTACTTGCTTCCAAAACGTAGTTCCGCTGCAATACCCCTATTTCCCCAAGAGATTGAATGATTATTCCTGCCCACACACAACAAAAAGTCCCACGAGAATTTTATCATCAACTAAAAAAGTGTCGTTGACCCCAACCCGGGTGCCGACGACGAATTTTCAAAGTCGGGGGCTGGAGAGTCTGGCGGGTCTCGTTGCTGTTGTACTAGTGGCTGTTGTTGTGGTGGCGTCGTCTGTGGCTCGTTGGGCGGGTCATTGTTTTGGGCTTCTGGTGTTCCAGGTTGTTGTGGTTGCTGGCTTATTGTTTGGGGTATTCTACTAGCTCTTGCAGCGCATGTCGAAAAGAGTCGTGAAAGTCCCGATTTGACAGTGGAATCATCCGAACAGACAGTGGTTGTTTCGTTGCTCGCGTTTTCATCCTCTTCGTCCTCTGGTACATCGCAACGCAACAATTGAGCCTGTAGTTTTTGAGCTTTGCTCCATGGTTTTCGGGGGATTGGTTTGCTTGGCATGGCCGGTGGTCGCAACGCAGTTTGTTCATTCTCCTCCTCCTCTGGATGCAGTTCCGGTGAGAGGCAAGAAGAACCTCGTGGAAGCACTTTTCCCGTGGTTTGTTTGCCATAAATCATAAATCCAATGGCGACAACGAGAAAGGCTCCAGCACCAATGGCTCCCGCAATACCGGGCGTAGAAACGTTTCCAATCAAACTCGATCTGGCACTTCTCCCCAAATTGGTTGGATTGGTGAGTCTGGCTCCTGACACGGTGGAGAATCGATTTTCGGACGGCAAATTCTGTAGCATGCTCAAGTAGAGTGCCAGATTGGCTCCGGTGAATGCTTGCATGACGTTTTGATCTAGCGTTTCCAATGAGGGTGGACTGTCGGTTCGAAAGGTAGCCGTGGCCGAATAGTCAATTTGTGGCACACCGTCTCGATAAATGGTGGATGTGGCGGAGGAAACGAATTCTTCTAACCCCCTTCCTTCGTATTGTAGACTCATGTATGTGTTTAGGTATCCCATAGTGACATCAATGGCCATTGCGTATTCTTCGCTAGAGGGTGTTCCTACTCCCTCGGCTAGTTCGTAGAGCAGTCCAAAGGGTGTCAAGTTGATGGTTTCTGGTTCTGGCTCCATGATCGTGGGCGTGTCGCCGCCACCGCCATCGCCATCGCCGCCAGGAGTTGCACTGGGTGGGTGGATTTCTGCATAATAATATGACATTGGAGAAGAACAAAGATGAGTTTCAAGATACAGTATGTTGTTTGCAGTCTAGCGATCGAGAACCAAGGAGCCACTGCCGCGATGCAGGACTTACCATCCGCTCCCATGTTTCCGCCTGAGATGATATCAACCAGAGAAAAAAGACAGTCGTTCATGCATAAAACGTGAGTTGCACAGAGAACCTTGCCTAACCCAACTAAGAACTGCATGATGCTTGATTAACACGGTACGTACCATCAATGGGTCCACCACCTGGTTCATAATAGGACCTGTCTCCCTTTCCCTTTCCTTTCCCTTTTCCCTTTCCCTTGCTTTTACTTTTGCTCTTGCTCCTGCTGGACGACCTCTTATGACCACCACCACCACCACCATTATCTGGGTAGTAGACGGGGGAATAGGACGGTCGATGTGTTTTGGGTTCTGTAATAGATTTGTAATGGGGAGTGGCAGGTCCGGGTTTTTGTTTCGCCGGTGTGGGTGCAGGGCGTTGATCGACCGATCCAGAGGCATAAAAGGAATGTCCTTGACGATTGGTATGATCGACGGAGGATGCAGATGATCCAGATCCAGCTCTTCCACGGATAATGTTCATTCCATCTCCAATAAACCCGCCGTCGCCACTGCCCCCGGCAAAGCTAGTAGCGCCACCACCACCACTATTTCCACCACCTGCACTGCCACCACTGGTAGCACCTTGACGGTGGTGCGTGGAAGGGTCTTTACTGTCGTATGTCACTCCTTGATTGGACTTGGGGAATGCTTGTAGATATCGTTGTCGTTGTTGTTGAGTACTCTTAGTCTGAACATCATCATCATTTTCGTTGGCCAAATTTCTGCCAACGTGATGATCTAATGGCAGCACTTTCCGCGTTGTTCTTTTGGTGTTGTTGGCTTGGACATGACATTTCGGGTCACTGACCCACACAACTACCAGCACTAGTACTACAAGCCAAGTTGTGACGGGTGTCCGTCGTAGCTTCATCATGGCACTGACTGACTGAATGACTGACTGTGGCTGGCTCACACAGGTAGCTACGAAGGAGCCCTTCAATGCCAGACTCTAGCTACTAGAAAAAGGACAGTCGATCTCGCCTAATCCTCTTTCCTCCTGTCAATTAATTGGGTTGCTGGCTAGCTAGATAGATAGGTAGATTCAAATGAGGGCAATGCTGCCGACGGTGCGCTATTGTTGGACTTGGAATTGCGTGAGGGAGCCGCTGAGCCCAGAGCCTTTCTCCTTGCTTCTTGCTTTGGAGCACCTTCGTGGGATGCTCTTGGTCGGATTTGTGACAGCTCTCGAAAAAATGGCCAGATGCGTTGAGGCGCAAAAGGAAAAGTCTATTTGAAATCCGTGTTAGGGTACTTAGAGATACTCAAAAGAACGCACAGCTGATCAAAGCAAGCTCGAGTGGTTTGGGTGAGAGTCGACTGAGTCAAGTCGAGTCAAAAAGCCTGAGCGCAACGGGAAAGTCATAGTTTTGATGGTTGTCCAAGTCTGGATCTAGCTAGCTACCGTTACCAATACTAAGAGCAGGCAACAACAGGTCCATACGGTAGTCTGGGTCAACAAAAGACGTTACCTTACGGTATGGTAGCTGGGCCAACATTACAACCTAACCCACCTCGGCCTGAACCATCCCATGGCCCAATGCCAGGTTGTCTCTAAGAAGTACCGGTACATGTAGATCATCATCTGATCGCTCATGCTGATGAAAGACCTAAATAACCTGGTCTGTCTAGATCTACCTGGTAGGTCTACTGTATCAATCAGCAAACCCCATTTCAGGATTTTTTGAGTGGCATGCACAAACATAAAGCGCTTCCAAGGTGGAACCACTTTGCCGTTTCTGGGGTAACATTATAATCTAATAAATGAGGTACAGTATACATAGTTTGTGTAGTGACGTGGTGACGCTGAACGCAATGATATAATCTTATAAATGAGGTAAAAGAGGCGACTGTAGGCATAAATGCCAATGGTCGAAAGCTGACAATTTTGCGCTCTCCTCCACATCCACACGTCCATCTCCATCGTCGATCATTGGCATAATCAATTGGCACGATCACTACTTATACAGGATCACCTTTACCATTCAATCAATCAATCCTCTCAAATCAGATCTATCACAACGATTCCTGGTTCGTGTATTCATTCTTTCACACTGGTTGTTTAGTTACGTTTTTGCAAGGATGAGTCTCGCAACAACCACAATGGCAGCAACATCCCCAACAACAACAACAAGAACTACTACACGTACCATGGGTTTGTCATTCGATGAGAACGAGAGCGTGAGCAATTGTTCCGAAAAGACGTGTAGTACTACGACGTCTACCATGGCATCTCCGGAATCGGCATTTTCGTTGATGGTGGAGGGCGACTATACGTACGCTCCTACCAGTTCTGCTATGGCCAAGTCGGCCATGGCCATTCTTGAAACACGCATTGGAGAGCGATTGGCCAGTAGTAGTAGTAGTGGAGAATTGAGACTGCTGTCCATGAAGGAATCCTTTGATCGATCCATTTTGACGCAATTCTACGAGGAACTGATGATTCCTAATTTTCCATTGGAAGAAGAACGCGACGATTTGGAAGATTGGTTGCTCTATTTGGATCCTACATTTAGCAAAGAAGAAGAAGAAGATAGTGACAATGATGGTCCACAAGATGGAACTTCCATGGATGTTCTCATCCTGACTATCGACAACGGTACTACTACTACCATTCTGGGTGGCATTGCCTTTGAGTACTACCCACAAGCCCAAGTGGGATTGTTGTCGTATATGGTCGTTTCCACGGAATTTCGACGATTGGGCATTTTGGGCACATTGCATCCCGTCTTTTGTCATGCGTTGCAAGGACTTCACGAATTGACCACGCAAGCGCACACTCCCATTGCCGCTATTTTGGCCGAAACCAATACCGCCACCGCTGGAGATGTTCCAACACAAGTAGCCCGCAAACGACACGAAATTCTATTCAAATTGGGATATCGACTCCTACAGTTCCCCTATGTACAACCACCCCTCGCCACCGACGGCGAATCCTTTGATGATATCATGCTGCTGTTGTATGTGGGAAACAACAGCAGCAATTCATCACAATCAACATCAACATCATCCATGGACACTACAATCTTGTACAAGTACGTGCTCGACTTTTATTATTCCGTATTTGGAACCAATCAAGAGCCATTGTTTCAAGATCATTGGTATTTTCAACTGGTTACATGGTATCAACAGCAGTGTCCTTCCACGCACATTCAAACCCAATTGCCATGGGAGGATGTCACGCCCACATTTCTAGCGCAAATGAAACAACAGCAACAGCAACAACAAGAAGAGGGCAAGTAGTAAATAAGTAGAATTCAATAGTAATAATACAGAAATACATTGACAACTCTTTTAATAAAAAGAGTTTTTGCAGCCACTCAAAAGGCCAACCGCTGCAAAGGTCCCTTCTTCAGTGGACGATGGAAGCAATCTTAGTTAGAAAGAATAGTGGAGTCGAGTCATCCATCACAAAACCCAATATGGATGGCTCTGATGTCACCGTTCCTCCTTCACTACTGTACCATATCTCTCCTTACCGTAGCTGAAAATGCCAGTCCCAGGATGCTCCCTACCGTAACAAAACAGTCACTTTAGAAAACAGCCAAGAGGAACAAATAATGAACAAGTACGCTCTTCCTTGATTTGCTTATGATGGTCCCCTACGGTAGCCACTGGATGGATGGATTGTACTCCTGTGCTGCCTTGTGGGAGATCTTGTGGGTTTGGCACCTCCTCCTCTAGGGGCCTCCCACAGCCAAGGCAGCATCATGGAAATTCACACAGCCGGTACGGTACAGAGCTGGTACCGGTAGTTGGCTGGATGGATTACCACACGGGGGGCAAGAATGAGCTACCTTCTTCGGCATCCATAAAGGACTTGGTGCTAGCGCTCTGCCTGTGCAGCCGAGGCATCTTCATCTACACCACCTGGCTCCGAGCATTCTTCGTCTATTACATAGTCCTTCCGAGGCTTCAACACCTTCCTCTGCTACATCACTTCTGCGTGCACGACCTGGTCTTCTTCCGAGTAAGAGAGATCATCATCGAGATCGCCACATTACTGTCTTGCTCGTCTATACTCCCCGTACTTCCATGCATGCACCTGGGACTCTAGCTAAGAGGCTCCAGATGTGGATGGTAGGTATTGTACTGGCGGGGGCTCGTTGAGCAGCTTGAGGAACTCGAGTAGGGCGGGTGACTGATGCCTGCTTTGCCTTGTTTTTGCCCGTTATGAAGGGTCCACTCTGCAGATATGAGTTGCAAATTGGCTTGGAGGGTAGGCGGTTCCACCTGCGGGGCTTGAATGTGACTAGTTAGTTGTAGTCATTGGCACTCCAGTCCACATCCTTGCAGAACGCTTTTCCTTTCTCTCACCCCGCAATAAGGGTGGTGGTGTTCCACCTTTCGCTGCAGGTACCATGGGATCTTGGGAGTCTGTTGTACCAACGAACTGGTTGTTAGACTCTCGCTTTGTCTTGCGCTCACCAATGAACCTTGTGCAGTAGCATCAGTGGTCCTTGTACAGTGCTGCTTATCTGAGCTCGTCCTGGCGGTGCCACCGTTTGGTTCGTCCAAGTTCGGCTTAGACTTTCGGGCACAGGTGCGTTCTGAAGGTCCACACAAAGGTTAGGCTGCAGCTGCAGTGTCATCTGTGTGATCAAAGCAAGGACGATGAGGACCCGGTGAAGAGAGAGTAGTGAGCTGAGCTATCAAGGGGTTGAGACTTGTAAAAGTCTTGAATGGCTACGATGTTAGATGGGACTACAGCATGTACGGGGGAATCTTGTCCTCAGTTGTGAGCAAAGGTCCAGTGGGCAGGGAATGAAAACCAATGAGCAGGCCAACAGAACGGGGCAGCAGGCAGGGGAGGACAAGGAGTAAACAGAGCCAGGGGAGGGAGAGGGCAGGGACCGACCTGGGTTAGAGGTCGAAGGCGCCACGATCATCCCAGAGCCTTGATTACTTGTCATGTGCGGGAGGAAAGAGATTCATATCCCGAAGGGTCGTCTCCTGGACGCAGTTGCAGCGGTGTAATAGTTGGCTTACAGTCAGCTGGCAAGTTGGGTAAAAGTCAACCAGGAATAAGTCAACCTGGAAGGTCCAGCAAATGATGAGATGAATTCTTGATTAAAAAATTATTGAATGGCTGATGAATTCATCACCAATTTGTTGAATGGTGATGAATGGTAATGAAAATGACGATTCCATGACAACTGGGGATGAATGGTTTTACTATAGAAGTTGAGGCTTGCGATGAAAATGGTAAAACCATGACGAAATAACATGAATTGTGATGAATTTGATTAAACAGTGATGAAAATGAATTCAATTTCAGGTTATCTGTTTTGCGGGACCTTCCTGAGGAGTTTTCCTTAAAAAAACACGTGCTACGTGAGTTATTTCTTAGCAATTATTCGATCCCCTTGGTTAGAAGAATGACACCACATAAAAATTTGAATTTTACAAACATGAATGGGTACAATTGGTAATTGCGCTAAAATTATGAGTAATTTTAGACCAAATGCAATTTTTTATTAAACGTACGTCATTCTTTGGAAGCTCTCGAGAGACGTCACCCGCAACAAAAGCAACCTTTTTAGAAAACCAACCCACAGCAGCATCTCATTATTCCATCGATATCGTTACTGGCACCACTTGTAAAGTACTAGTACCACCATGAAGCTCTTTACCCTCGCGATCGCTCTGAACCTGGCTGCTGCGCCTGCAGCCTCGGCCTTTCAAGTTGGTGGCGTCCATGCGCAGCGCTCATCGGCAACGTCTCTGGACATGTCGTCTCATCACATTGTTTCGGATGCCAACGAAATGGGAGAAAAGCGCAACGAAGACATTCTGAACGCCCTTGGATACATGGAAGGTCCTAGTGTTAGCTACGGTCACTTTGCGGCTTTGGAGAACAAGAAACCAACGGACATTAAGGAATACGACAACTTTGATGCCTTCAAGCAAGCCATTGACCAGGCTGACTGCACCAAGCTCCTCATGGGGAATGGCCCGTTTACACTGTTCGCTCCTACCAATAGTGCTATTGAGAAGTTTGATGGTGTTTTAACAGAGGAGGTGATCAAAACGCACATTTTGCCCCAGGATCTTTTTTCCGACGAGCTGGTGGGAACTTTCGAAACCCTCAGTGGCCACAAGCTGACTTGTCGGTACGAATTCCGCAAGACTTATGTGGATGAGGCCCTGGTTGGCCAGCTCGATAACCACTCTGGTGGGACACCCTACCCTACCAACGTCATGTGTAACAACGGGGTCATTCACGCCATCAACACAATTCTCACACCTGGTTGGAGCCGAAGCACAGGCGACTCCCAGGGGGTTCAGGGCCTTGCCCTTCAATCCCATTTAAACCAGAAAGTTCTCAAAGACAGAGGCTCACTCCCCGATGAGGCCACCGAAAAACACTAAATTAGAGCAGCATAGGAAGTTCAAATCTTTGAAGCTGCTTGTCGCAGATGTTAAGCAGGCAGCTTACTAGTACAGTACTATGAATTTTTATATTCTGCAGCTTAGGATGTGGGCGGTGTGCGAAAACTTGCTGGCGTGATGGCAGCATCGTTGTACGGTACATGCTTTCGTGATTGTTTTGTAATACATGTAACTCCAAGCATTGGCGGGCACATTGTCATGATTGATCCAGGGATAGAATGCCTCTACCGGTACAACCAAAGTGCCACGCTGCACCACACCACCACAAAATGTTTCCTTTCTCTGTCGAACAAGGTGCTGAGTGAGTGAGCTTACCCAGAGCGCACTCACCGCTAACCTTCTTACTCGACAAAACAATGAGGCTGTGTGTCCCACTTGCGTCTGTGCGAGTGCAAGACCCACAGCTTATGTTGGACAAATATATATTTGCTGCCCACCACTCATCGGAAGTACATACATGTGTAGTAGCTGCCTAACTCAGAGCATCTTACTGTGATTCCGCAAGTGCATCAGAGGACTAGCCAGTCGGCCTCACTGGCACACGATAGCTACATGTACCTCTACTAGCTAGCTCATTAAACTACTAGTACCTGGTATCTTATTACATGGAAATTGATCGAACCGACACGAAAGTCGGAAGTGGCTAACTTGCACAACATTGTTGCCAAAACGATGGTGTTTTACACAGCCTTGATGGTTTATTGATTTGAACCCGCCAAGGCAGCAAGAGCCAACAACCACAGCACCGTGGAGAGAAGCCCATCCCAAGACAAAACCAAAAGTGGATGGGACCATTGTTCTGGGAGACAAGACACGAGAAGACAAGACAAGACAACATATTGGAAGATGAAGGACGACATAATCGGTAGTTTGCAGCAAGCAGCACCATTTCCTTACCGTTTGATGGATTTTAGACAAGAACAACAACAAGCTGATGAGATGGAGGACGACAATGGGGATGATGATCGGTTCGTCGATCTTACGAACTGTAATGACAGCACTAGCGACACTGTTGGAGCTGGTGGTGGAGTAGAGGACAAGGCAGGAGGAGATGAGGTTCCCATTGGAGTGGACGTTTGTGTGGATATAGAGAAGATTCACTCAGAGGAGGAACAAGAAAAACAGCAGCGAAACTCCACCACCAGCAACAACAACAAAAACTCCTCCAGGGCAGATGGTTCGGGAGTAATTGGCAACAGGAAACAGAGGAGACGGAATGTGCCAAACCAACAACAGCATCATCAAAAGAAAAAGATGAACAAAGCAACAAACTCCAAGGAGAATCATTCCACCAATACCGGTACTAGTAATGGGAGGAAGCGAATGAGACAAGAGTCCAAACACAACCAATCAACCAAGCCTTCCTCTACTATTAATAGTACAGCTACCAATACTGGAAGTTCCAAAAATGAAACAAACAAAAAGAAGAGAAGGAGGCGCAAGACAACTAAGTGCCAAACCAATCAGCAAAAAAATCACCTGGAGAAAATACAAAAACCAATGGAGAAAGTTAAGGTTGGGATAAATCCAGTAGACCAATTTGCAGATGCTGAAGAAGAAGGGGACTGGTGCAAATATTCACAACTATTGCATCAAAGTAATACACAGCAACAACAACAAAAACAAAAACAACGAACTTCCACACAAACAGAACTGCATTCCAACACGAAGAACCACAAGCATCCCGCTGCTTCCAAAGGAAAACGATGCACAGGCAAGTCATCATTGCGACAACAAAAGCCAACTCAACCACAAAAACATTCCAACCAAACAGACATGTCACAGCAACAGAACCAAGACGCCATGGACCCAGTTGGAGTTGATATCAGTGTGGATGTTGTAGATATGTATCTGCAAGTAGATGGTGATTATCAAGATTGTCTAGAGCAAAACGAACATGGTCAAGATCACATCCACAAAGGGCGAATGGGAGAGGGATGTGCTGATTCAGTACTATTGCAGCAAAGTATTATGCAACAAAAACTGCAACAAACTTCAACAAAAGAATATATGCATTCCAACACAAAAAATCACAAAAGACTCACTGCTCCTAAGCGAGAACGATCCAGAAGCAAGTCATCATCACAAGACAAGCTAACACAACCACAAAAACAATCCTTATCCAACCAAACAGACACGTCAAGACCAGAAAACCAAGATACAATGGAACCAGTTGGAGTAGATATCAGTGTGGATGTTGTAGATATGTATCTACAAGCAGACGAGGACCACCAAGACAACAGAGATGGAGGAAATGATCATGGTCTAGAGCAAAACGAACGTGGTCAAGATTACATCCACAAAGGGCGAATCGGAGAGGGGTTCTCTGATTCACTACTATTGCAGCAAAGTAGTACACAGCAACAACAAACTTCAGAACAAGCAGCACTGCACTCCAACACCAAGAACCACAATCAAGCCACGGCTTCCAAGCAAAAAAGATCCAGGGCCAAGTCATCAGTACAAGACAAGCCACCACAACCACAAAAACAATCCAACCAAAGAGACACACCAAGACAAGAAAACCACGATATCATGGAACCAGTTGGAGTAGATATCAGTGTGGACGTTGTAGATATGTATCTACAAGCAGACGAGGATCATCAGGACAATGGTCAAGATCACAACTACGCTCGGAAGACGGCAGAGGGGGGGCATGTGCTTTCTCAAGCTGAATCGTCGCCCTTGTGTACTAATAATTCAACCGAGGAACAGCTGAAACAACAGCAACAATTGATACAAAAACTTAAGGAAGATCTGCAAAGGGAAAAGGAAGAGTCACACAAGAAGGATGACACGCTGAAACGATACGAAACACTTCTAAACAGCCAATCCAGAAATCAAGGGGAGTGCAGCAACAACAACAACGAAACTCACTACGACTCGACAAAAGACCGTCCTCACGACATAGGCGACCAGGAGGACCGAAAAGTAGCTGCAACCACCCAGCCGTTTCACGGTGGTCAGAAAAAGCCCCATCCGAACAATGGTCGGCAATTCGCATCATTGCCGAGTTGCAACAAGAAAGGGGGTGATGAATGGGTTTCCTGGCGAAAGGCGGGGGTATCGGACAACGTGTCGCACTCTGTGGATGGTGTCGTTGAATTGTTAGGGACCGACGAGGAGAGTTGCTCGGACGAGGATTTGTTTGCGCAAAGTGAGGACGAACAAGACGAGGAAGAGCTCCGTCAGGAACAAGGTGAAAATGAGCCCACAAACCTGTCCGCGGCGAATCCTATCGACGTTGACGACAATCAAGACGATGATAGCGACGAAGACCTCTTTGCCGGCAGCGATGATGATGAAGAGGATGAGCAAATGGGGACAACCACCGCCAATGTTCTCACACAACAATCATCTGGGGACGACGAGAACGAATCAAGTTCCAGTTCTCGTGAGATCAGAAATGGGACTATTCCTCCGAAAGAGTGTGTCTCGCCAAGTGCCAGAAAGATCTCGGTCTGCGAAGACGTTGAGCCGACTACAAAAAATGTCCTCTACGGTGATTCCAGCGAAGCTAATACGACTATCGAACCCATTACCAATCGACCGGCATGGAATAAGTCCGTTGCTAAATCCGAGGTGGCAAAACCAAAAGAAGCTGAAGATCAGCGTGGAGCCGTACATGTAGGACTTGAGGAGGCCGCCGAGGACAATCCAGGGGCATCGTCTCGTCCTAACTTTATCGTCATTGACGATGACGACTCTGACGACGAAGTTGAAGTGTTGTTCACCCAGGAAGCGAGGATTTCGGGGAGGAAGGAAGGTGGAGTGAAACGACAGGGGTTCGCCGTTTCCAATAGTGATATAGGAAAGGAACCGTACATGTATGTAAAGCGTCCTGTTCCACCCAACAAAAGAAATCCATCAGAGAACATGTTCAGAGGAGATCGAGATTTCTCCTTTCGATTGTCGACGGAAACGGCGCAAGAAATGCAAGAGCGACTTCTGCGTGACTGCGTAACCCGAATGAAGAGCATCGGCGAGAAGGATCCATCTCGAATTGCCAATGAAAGGCCGCTATTCATTGGGGTACCCATATCGGACATCTTCAGGCAGCACCCCGATCATTGGAAGGTACGTGCAGGAAAACGTGCGTCGTGTTATGCTTTCGTGCACAGTTTGTTGCCACGGCACGCCTCAAGCAGTTGTTTTCCAATCCAAGTGGAAGGATCCGTGGGCACGCCTGGGACTTCCTCGCCACTCCGCTGCCCATTTGGTGAAGAGTCATTACAGAAAGCTTGTGCTTCTGGTAAGTGCAGGCAAATGAGCGAAATGCTATCAAGACACCATCATGATGGCAGCATGCAACTCACGAGCTGCTGTTTCCTTGCATGTCCCGCAGTATCACCCGGACAAGGCGAGATACCGTGACTCAACACAGCGGTTCCATGCCATCACAGAGGCCTACAGAAAGCTGACAGCGAAGTGAGAGGTCTGCGCAGTTATAGGCAACCTCATAGCTCTGATTATTTTCGGGTGGAGTGTGTGCTGCCACTAAGCACTGTTGAAATCGATTTTTCAGGTCCTGTGACTGCCCAGCCAGAACGGTACAGTACCGGTACCTACCGGTAGACACTATGGTTTGCTCGTGTTGGCGTGGTGCACCGGTACAGAAAGCTTGCTGATAGGCAGCACAAAGGTTTGTTTGAAAGCGTGAGACTTAGAGCAAACCTCTCTGTAAGTGCGGGTGCCGGAATGGCTATTTGGTTCTAATTAGAACCAGTAAGCCGCAGTAGCACTTGATTCGCGAGAGCAAAACCGCAAAACCTATTGGTTTCCTGCTAATAATACTAGTATAGCTACTGCTACACTTTGCCACATTGTTTTAGTGAAGCATTTAATCGAAGCAAGGCAGCCATACTGATAGCGAAGTAAATGTAGTTTGAACGGGCCGTCCCGAACTTTGAGACGATGTTATCAAGCACTAGGTTTTTTTGCGTTTTGACTGGCTTTCCCAAAAGTCCCGAGGATTCTGTTGGTTGGTGCTTTTTTTCTCCCAGAAGTCGCGTAGCTTCTTAGGAGGAAGTTTTGAGTTTGAGACCTGCGAAGTAACACTCGCGTCGTCTGTAGAGGGTTTCTCTGTCAATGCTGGTCTCTCATCAGGAGACGCGGCTGGTTCCTCAGGTAGCGACTTCGTCTCGTCAACCTTGTCTCCTTCGTCCTCGGTTTCTTGGCGCGCGACGTCATGAACAGTAGAATCTTCGTACAATGTTTCTTCCTCAATCAGTTCCTCCTCTTCGTACTCAGTAGCGACCGTAACTTCCTCGTCAACGAGCTCCTCTTCAAACTCATCTTCCATATCAGTCGACTCTCCCAGCATAACTTGTCGAGATTCCGCTGATCGGAACTTGCGCATGTTTTCATCGAGTTCAAGGTTCATCTGCCGTAGAGCTGATAGCATGGACTGTGGAGGTGCTTTGGATGGACCGGTAGTAGCTACCGGTATCGCCTGTTCTGGGATGCTCTCTGTGGTTTGTTTCTGAGCTTCGATCGTTGTCAAGTTTGCAGTTGCCACAGTGACTTCCGACGTTCGTCGCTTTTCGGCATTATCATCTTCTATAGGGACAACGCCGTCTGGATCAGCAGACCGGGTTCTTGAAATGTCTGAACGGAACACATCCGCTCGCTGCCTCGATGCTTCATCCCATGGAATGCTGGCAGTTGACGACAGCTGATCGTTTCCTGGAGGCGCTTTGCTTGCTGGTGGTTCGTCTGTTGAGTCGACGCCGAACGGTGCCGAGTTGAGCACTTTGGCAAAGTCGTCCATCAGTTGGATCATCGTCGCTTCTTCTTCCGCCGGAGTCTTCTTTGTTGGAATTTGTGGCTCCAGTTGGATCATCGTCGCTTCTTCTTCCGCCGGAGTCTTCCTTGTTGGAATTTGTGGCTCCAGTTGGATCATCGTCGCTTCTTCTTCCGCCGGAGTCTTCCTTGTTGGAATTTGTGGCTCCAGTTGGGTTATCGTCGCTTCTTCTTCCGCCGGAGTCTCCTTAGATGGAATTTGTGGCTCCAGTAGGGTCTTCTTTGCTGGAATCTTTGGCTCCAGTTGGGTCGTCGTCGCTTCTTCTTCCGCAAGAGGCTTCTTAGCTGAAATTTGTGGCTCCAGTTGGGTGGTCGTGGCTACTTTCGCCGGACTCTTCTTAGCTGGAACCTTTGGCTCCAGTGGAATGGGGCAATCGTCGTCATCATCAACGTCATCTTGAAGATTTACTTCTTCAAAGTCAACTCGAGACGAAAAATCAGCTGGAGTGAAGGTACGGTAGCGGACCTTTGGTGACACACGGACCTGTCTGGCCCTCCGAGGAGGCGATGGTACCATTTCATCAACAAATCGATCAGAAGACTCAGAGATGGATGTTGCATCGTCGGCGATGTAGGAGGATTGATCTCCTAACGATGGCAGTGTACTGTGATCTCCATCACTACTGCTCGCACTTTGATAGTGACGATGGCGATAGCGACGATTTTGATGTAGTCGCTTTCGTGGATCTTGTCGTCGGCGGTGCACCTTGTTAAGGATCTCTCCTTCCCCTTCAGGAAGCTCGTGGCTCTCCACCCAGTTCATGTAGACCATGGCACCCACAACACTGGCTAGTAGCACGACCACAATCGGAATGAACACCTTGAAGATTCGACTTGTGCCTCGTTGAGCAATGGTTGGCGGCGGGTTCAAATGCCCACCTGGTCCTGTTAGATGGGAACTTTGCACGTTGAGTTCTATGCTGGTGACCGAGGCAAACGAGTTGCCGGCTCCCAAATTTTCCAGCAAGAACAAGTAGTAGTCGTAGTACGTGCTGCCATCCTGAAGACTACGCACGACGATATCCGTCAGCCGACTTTCATTGGGAAGTATACTGGAGTCACCATCAAAATATGCTGCAACTGTAAACTCGACGTAGTCATTGGCAATCACGGTGTAGATTGCCAACTGATCTGTTGACAAGAATCGAAGGTCTTCAATGTCTTCAAAGTAGTTCCTGAATATGTAGTCACAGACATGCGATGTTATTCTGGCCAGTGCCGAATAGTCCTGATTGTTAGGCGTACCGGAGGATCTGGGGCGGGTGTAATGGACTCCCACACCGATTTCGGCCATCAGTGGTGACCGTCGGCTTCTTCCTTTGGCTTTGCCTTTTCCGCTTTCTTTGGCTACGGACGAGAAATTTGGAACGTAATAACATTGAGCATATCCACGAGAAGATGTCAGGTTAGAATTCAAGTTGAGAGAAAGCTCTTACCGGGAGGATACTCTTCTTCTGGTGATGCAAGCTCTTCATCCTCGGAAACGGGTTCGGTGTGCTGAGGCTCGGCCGAGATGTATTCATCCTTGTCGTCCTTCCCATCCTTTGGACGTTCCTCAGGCTCCTCCTCTACATATTCTTCTTCTTCAACCGAAACTTCTTCTTCCTTGATGTTTGGAGTCACCATGGGCTCGGCCACAGTGTCGTAATCTTCCTCCTCTTCGTCGACTTCTTCGATTTCTTCTGGCTCTGGGTCACGCTCTGGCTCTGGCAGCATTGGCGGTTCTGGTTCAGGCTCTACCGCGCTCTTCGGAGAACCCTTGACTTTATTGGTTTTGTATGATTTTCCGCCAGGGTGCACATATAGCTCTTTTGGTTCTTCTTTCATGGGATCTACCTCGTATGGATCATCGGCCGACGATTGTTCCATCTCCAGGTGATCAATGGAAGGAGGTTCTTCCATTCCAGGCTCCATTCCAGGCTCGCCCTGTTCCTCGTCGCGCACCGGAGCCAAGTCTGTATCGGAGGTCAACTCTCCGTCAACAATCACATCTATCACCGCTTTCTCGTCTGCTTGCACATCACTGTTCCTTGCATCTCCAAATTCCACGTGGTATGCCGTTTCTGTGTTTTCCCACATGGACGTCAACTTTCGGGTCTTTGAGGATGATTGCTCAATACTAGTGGTACCACTGGATTCCTGTTTCACTTGCGTCAAAACTGATGCTGGCTCTGATGCTTTGGCATTCGTCGTTTGACGGTGGCCTCTCAGCCTCACGGACTTTTTGGCCTTGACCGATTTCGCAAACGCCACAGGCAGTGGCATCTCGCCATTTTCAAGCAGATATCCCACCAAGACAACGTGCAAGACAAAACGAAAAATCGTTCGACCGGTATAACATCGTCGCTTCATTGTTGTTGTTGACAAAGGATCCTGAGCTTCCCTCGAGCTGGCTGCAACACAGGTAGCAGAACGCGGCAAACGGCGAACAGATCTTTGGATGGACGTAGCTACTGGCTAGCTAGGCAGCGGCGTTTCTTCGCAGCGTTTTGAAGAAGGTTTGACACAAAATCGTGAGTTGGACATCTGGCGGAAACTCGATAAGGTGCGCCCACTGACAAGGATGTGCGGGTTGATGAGCGTTGAACACAGAACCCCTTGATTTTTGGTGATCAGTTTGAGGTGCGGGAGTGATCTGCCTCCCCTGCTCGCAGGAATGATGTAAAAAAACGCCAGCTCAAGCTGTTGAAGTGATCATAGTATTGGATCCAAATTCCGTGGACCAGACAAATACCACAAGAAAAAATTCTGTGGACCCAAGCGCTTTGGATATGGACATAGTACAGGATCTGTGAGCATGATACCATCACGATACACCGCACCTGTACTGCAGGTCACACAGGAGACTGAGGACTCGACTCTCGACGAATCTCGAAGAACGCGACCCCGGGGTCCGGTACCGGTACCGATACAGCGTACCGGTACTTGGCATCATTCCACCCTGTACCATACCCATACACTCATCAATTGAGTACCTCACCTCTGGTAGCGTCGGTTAGATTCTGGACTATCTCATAAAAAAGCGAGATAATGACCAACTGCGAAAAGAACCAATGCACATGCGCAGAGTGTATGACTATGACAACACCCAATGTACTGCTTGTGGTCAAGACTACTGTCTGCGATGCAGGGCGCGTGTGGCTGGTGAGCGGACTTGACTGTGGGAAATACCCGGGCCTCGGCTCGTGGGTTGTCCTCAAGCACAGCTTGTCTGAATCCGTTAATAGACTTTGATTTGTTTTGTCTGCGATGCAGCCTACCGTATGGTGGACCAGAGCTTGCCATTACTCAGTTAATTGTCTGCATGGGCCAGAGCCTCAGCAGATAATTTGTCGGGGCGGGTGTGGCATCAAAAAGAGACATTGAATCTAAATTGTGTGTTGTAGCACTTAACGGCTTTTCAAGTTGATCAGCCTCTCAATGATGCCAGGCCCGAAAGGCTCAAAAAGGTGTTTCAGAGCTTTGGTCCCAAAGACCATGCAGTTTTTGGGCCATTCGGCCTTGCAATTCGCGATGTTAGCTTCCACTGCACCAGTGACAAATAGTTGGACAACATAACTTCCATCTTGAAGACCCAAATCATTCGCACGGCTATCCGCTTTCTTTAGCCAATCCAAGATCAGACTAGGAGTTGCTTCTTTGTACATCTTCATTTGAAAAAGTATACACACATCGTTCTCCGAGGTATCGAATCCCCCCTTAAAGACCCCTTCGACTCCTTTCTCAATATCATTCACAGAGTAAAAAATGCAGGGTGAATCTCTGTCGTATTCAAACTTTTCTTTGATGTTTTCTGCAAGATTCATTGTGAACTTGCATTCGGCCGCACGTGGGTGTGATGCAGCATCGAGGAGATCATCGCAAAGATTGTGCTCCACGCCGAGGCCTTCGACTGTTTCCTTCACAGTTGGATACAAGTCGTTGCCTCCTGGTGCTGCATTGCATGCCCAAATCATTGCTCTCCGAAGTTCCAGCACTGCCATTGTTGCGATCTCCCACATCTTTTGCACTTCAGCGGGACTGTACGTGTAGAAAAGCTTGCTCGTTTCAGTCAACACCCAATTTTGCACGTACTTAAACATTCTGTTTTTCTCCACGAAGGCAAACTCCAACAAGCGCCAGGCAGGAAGCATCATTTTCCCCACCAATAGCTCGCCCATGTGTCTCCTAATGCACCCCTCTTTTGGCTTCAGTACTACGCTTCCTCCTAATTCGTTCATCAGAGCTTCCACCTTTTCTTTATTGAGAGTATCCCAGCTGTCTCTATCAAACAGTCCTTTCGATACCAGAAGAAAGATTTCGTCGTATGTGAAGGCATCTGGCTTCACGTAGGAAATTGCCGTCGGGGTCACTCTGGTTTCAGTGCTGTTTTTCAGGTCCATGATACTACTCCAATATTCCAAACGCTCACTGCTCTCCAAGCAAGAGGTTGTAACATCGAGATAGAATTCGTCCATCTCGTTACCGCAAGGGGCTCCCGTGAAAATACGGGTGTTTTTCCGAGCAAAATTCTTTGCTGCTTCCACCATCTGAGGCTTACTTTGAGGGAATGAAATTGGTTCGAGTGCTCGCCCAGAAAGCTGGAGAATAACTTCACCGAAATCATAAATTGATAGCGCCGCTCCAACGATTGCACAAAAGACTCCTCCCTTGAGACAGACTTGCGACAAGCTTAAAAGCTCGTCCATTAGTTTCTCATATTCACTTGAATTACCCCTTCTCAACTTTGAGAGCTCGTCGACGCAAATGATAAAGCCGGTATTGCCTTTTTCTTGTATTGATGAGAAATGGTGGATGATATCTTGAAAGGAAGAGAATCCCTCGAATCTGGTTTTCTTCCATGCAGTGTTGCCTCCCATTTCAACATTCCCCATGAAAGAGCGAAGCAGGCGCTCCACTGTTGTCGATACAATGGGTCCTTCACCACTAAAATATGTTGACTCTTGGTTGAATGAGGCGAACAAGACAAGGATGTTGTCCAGTTTTCGTTGGCCTTGTGATATGCCCTCGTTTATTTTCTGAAGAAGCATTGTCGTGTTTTGGTTCTTCGGTAGATAAGTGCAGCAATTGTTGAAGATCCATCTTAGGAATTCGGTCTTCCCAGCTCCGCTAATTGCAGAAAGCCCAAGGATCGGTACAGCTTTCTTGTCCAAATTGGATACCCCGATTTTAGTTGCAAGTTTAACCAAGCCGTCAAAGAGGGCTTGCTTGGTAAGTTCTCGATCCTTCAAACCCCCGAATTGTTCAGCTAATTTACCCATTGGTAGTTTTCTTTTCAATGTGCTTGTTGGAAATGGAACAAGTTCGTGCGGGCCCTCTCTCCTGCGCTTCTTCGTCCCCGCACCTGTGAATGGTTCTATTTCCTGCCGATTTTGCTCCTCCTCCAGACGCCGGACTTCGACGAGATCGTCCTTCTCGAATGGTGTCTTCCCACTCAGCACATATTCCACTTCTTTGTATTGGAAGCAGGAACCCTTGTGTGCAACTTTGTATTTTGCTTTCTCTGCCACTTCACCTTCATATATCCAAGCAAGACCATCGCCAACTACTTCCTCTTTTTCAAAATATCTGGTAAGCACAGGTTTACCTTTGTCACCAGGTGGGAACAATTGGAGTAAATATCCTCCCGCTGGGGCAGATATCACTGCCCTGCCAGGACAGCTAGTAGGCAGGTCAGGATCAGCGTTGGCTTCCATGGTACTAGTATCAGCGATGTGAAGTTGTTGTTGCTGCTGCTGGAGCACCGGCGGTAGTTCCGGATACTCTAGTACTAGTAGCCGTAATCGTCGAAGTTGATGTACTAGTAGCTTGGCGTCGGCGTCCTCGGTGGGTTGTTGTCACGTTGTCGGCGACGGAAGTGGAGAGGGTCACGCTAATCTGTGGCGTTCACCGAAAGAGCAATTTGTTTGTTTAACACCTCTCAAATGGAGTCTTTGAAGTTTCTTGAGCTTAAATCTCACTCTCAGGCTGAAATGTCACTTAGAGGGTGCAATTTCAGTCACCCTATGTAATTTCAGCACGTATCACGCTTATTAACACGGGGCTTAGTGCAATTTCAGTGTCACTATGTAATCTCAGCACGTTGACTTAAATTGCACTCTCCGACTTAAATCACACTGTGGTAAAAGAAGAGCCTTGGATTTAACAGGTGAATCGCTGCAATTTGTTGTTTCCGTAGGCGCCTGTGTCTAACACCCCCATATCTGTGTACACGCGTTGTTCCAAAACGAGGATAGGTTATATAAATAAATAAAAATAAAAAATAAACAATAATTAGCTTTTTAAGTCCCGCAACTTCACTTTTGAGCGCTATTGTGAAAGGCTTACCAAGCCTTCACCGATCTGGAAACCCTGGTGAAACCTTTACTGAGAGCCGCAAGATTCGCAAGCTTCTGTCCGCATTACAGACCCAACCCTCAAGACCGCCAAGTCCGTCATTCAAGCACTCCGCATCTACGCGAGAGTTTCCAGGAGGCTATGAATTATCTAGCCGAGCAACTTGATGTCGCTGAACCCACTCGACCCACAAGAAATATTTCATCTGTGTCTGGCCGTGGTCGAGGTGGTGGTGGAAGAGGACGTGGGCGGGCGGTGGTAGGTCCCAAGGCCGAGGCTTGGAAGAGGCCGAGGAGGGGACGAGGCCGTGGTGGAGGCCATGAAGGCCGGAGTTTTGACCCCAATAACCCAGGAAGATATTATCATCCCGATGAGTGGGCTCAGCTCACATCGGCGCAGCAGCAACAGGCTAGGGACGCCGCGATGGTGACAAGCGGAAAATTGCCGAGCTGCAGTACAGTTGTCGATACCCAGTCCAAGTCTCGGAATTGCAAGCCGGAGAAGCGATCCCGGACTGATGTTCCTGGTGGATCTAGCGTGGGCAACGCATGAATCGGCGAGCATGAGTCTCTGGTGTTCGCACTCTGCGATCCGTTGCTACTCATTTGCCATCATCTCGGATTGAGCTTGACAGCCATGCCGATACATGTTCCTTTGGGGAAAGTGCTTACGTGTACATGAAGGAGACTATATCCGTCGAAGGGTTTTCAACTGATCTTGGACAATACACGAAGTACCAATTGTAACTGTGGCTGTGGCTTATGACGACCCACTCACATCCCAAATTTATATTTTATTCTTTCATCAATCTTTGCTTATCAAGTCATTACAGAACAATCTCATTTGTCTAGCTCAGCTGCGACATCACCAGTTAGTTGTCAACGATGTGCCACTGTGCACCTACCATTTGAAGACAGAACCAATGAATCCCACTCCATCATTTGTGGTGACCTACGAATTCCACTAGATAACTTCCAGGTTCGGAAGCCCACCGCCCATGAGGTCAATTCCCCAGATCACTTCTGCACTACGCTAAAAGCTAGTGTTAAAGATCTTTCGAGTGTTTTGAGTTTGAGAGAATGAAAGTTATGAGAGGATTAGAAAGCTATGAAAACTAATCAACGAGAGAGATCCACATCAAAGGATCGTAGATCTGAACTCCCGCGGGAGACTGTAAGTGTGATAAGTAGGTTGCGGTAGCAATCCTACTCGCTCCACGACCAAAAACGGAACGCGTAGAAGATTCGTCTAGCATTTATCTAGTAGCGTGGAATCTCTCCACGCCAGCTAAATATCTACGAGATTTTCACCATCGACCTATGTATGACTAGCGGTCATGAGAACCCTGTCTCAATGACTATTCACGAAAGACTCAGTCATGAGTCGAACTCAAACCCTATCTAGGATCGAGTCGCGAATAAGGCTAAGAGCCGTGTATTGCATTCGCCCCCTGACAAGGGTCACGGAAGGCACGACATCAGTCGGACAAGGAGAACAATATGAATAAAAGTGCGGGGCACTCTCCGGAGATTGGATGTAAAAATGTGCGTCGCACGATGGCAATCCTACAAGGGATCAGGCCTTGTATGGGTGTAAATACCTTAGTTTCCAAGTCTGGTAGACTGTGCCGCTATTGGCGGTAGCATGTCGGAGCCGTAAGTGCATTGTTATTGACTCGTTCTATAGTGTAAGGACCTTTGTACTTTGGCTGACCGTACTTCGGTGCTGATACTGTGAATCACATAGTATCGTTGACATTGGTTGATGAGGGACACGTGTCGTGTTCTCCTATCGTTGTTTTTCTGGATAAGTCGTTGGCGACGTTCCTTGATGTATTCCAGTTTGCTTTGAAAGGATGTTGTGAATCTTTGTCACGATTGACGCGCGTGAACTTGCGACGAATCCATGTTCATCCCGGAGAGTCTTCTCGACTCTGCGCGGAACTCACGTTCTCTGTCCATGACAGCCTCAGCCGGTCATGGATACTGGGTAACCCACGTCTGTTTTAGAAGGATGGTTACTTCGTCTGCTGTCTTGGAGCAGACCTTGGTATCCCGAACCATTCGGTTACGGGATCAATCATTGTCCAGCAATGAAGTGTACATGTGATCGTCAGATTCATGTATTTGGCTGGTAGTTCATGGTCCAATGAATCACGAAGTTCCTTCCTATTCGTAGGAGAAGCGATAGCTGGATCGCATCTATTGTCCTTTAGTTAAGGGTTGGATTCCTTCTCGAGTAATCCAATGGTCTGATACTCAAGTTCTTCCTTTCGAGGAAGGCTTGGTAGTGTTGATTTAATCCGACTTCTTGAAGTTTGGAAAAATTCATCTAACTTTTCAACGTGATCTACAGACGTCGTCAGTTAGATGAGTGATCATCGATGTATGCACGGACATTTTCTAAGTCATGCATGCATGGTTTTCATCTTCCTTTGGAAGATGTCGGGACTATTACATAGGCCCATTGGCAATCTGGTACTCGTCTTTCCCCACGGAGTACGATGGTACAGAGTTGCTTAGTGAGGTGACAGCTCGATGTGGATGGTGTCCCATGTTCAGGTCTAGACTAGTAGCGTACTTGAATCCATCTAGATTCAAAGAGCATGTCCTGTATTTTTGGGATAGGATAAGGCTTCCGCTTAATCCTTTTGTTCAGTTCCCAGAAATCAGGATGAATCGTACAGATCCTCTTTCTTGGGAATGATAAAAGTTGGTGCCGTCCACTCGGAACAGTTTATCTTTTTAAGTACTCCTGCCTTCAGAGACGTTCAACCTCTCTCTTGAGAGTGTTGGTATGGACACGTGGAGTAGGGTGAGCCCTAGTATAATAGGATTTAGCGTCGGGACGAAGTTCTACTTCGTAGTCGTCCACGATGAGATTATGCCATAGGAGCCATAGTATGGGTGCGGCGCAGCTGTGCTGGCTCAGTCTGGTGGAAAGATCGCTGCTGCATCTGTACACTCTTTCAGTACAATGAGCTGTGTCACCATCAGACAAGATAGGAACAGCTGTAGAGGACATAGAGTTCCTCTGCAAGGAAGGATGATGCAGTTCCTCAGCCATGACCTATCTAGAAAGATAGCTTGGTCAATACCAGCCAAAAGAGATGCATGG